TTGATGGCCTGCCCCTGCACTGCTGTTTTGCCAAGCTCTGTGAGTCTGCTCTTTCAGTCCTTTCTCACAGTTCACATCCTCCAAGCCTCAGGCCTGCTTTCCTCTGCTACGAACCCCCTCCAGTTCGTTGTTCTGTCTCTCGGGGATCACGGCGCTGTGCTGGATGCAGTTCATCTGAGCTGTGCAGAGAAAGGGCCCCACAGCCAGCAGATTGACCAGATAAGAAGTACAAGAGTCTCCTCACTGGTCAAGCCACAAGCTTGTCTTGGCTGAGCACCCTTTGCTGATCTGATCTGGGGCACAGAGGCCAACAGCGAGGGGCAGAGAATCAACTGCACAGCATAGGATTGGTATTCACTCACTGGGGCACAGCACCTCTCCAGCCCTTGACTGTTCACTGTTTATCCAAAGCACCATCTCCCCTGGCCCTCTGCTGTATCAGAAGCCCAGGTGTCAGGGAAACATAATGCGGGCTAATGGTGAAGAAGACAGTGAGAGGGTAATCACCATCCACCCTTGTCAGACCATGAGGAAGGCAGCAGCTGTAGAGGGCGTACCCATAGGGGTGGCTTTGACCCCCTCATTGTGATGCACTTACCCTCCCTGATTGCCGTTGTGCTGTGGGAGAGGTCAGTTCAGGACAACAGGACTTTTTCAATGAAATGAGACCAAAGCTCTCCCTGCTGATGCTGCAGGGGGAACCTGAGCTGGAGCAGTGAGTCGGAGAGGGGCCAGGACAATAACACACAATGAGGTGTGAGGGGGTCATGTATTTCCCAGAGCACCTAGCTTTGGCTGCTGTCTGGCTTCTTCCAAGACAGTGACTCCAGTGTGCCCTGCCATGTGGAAAACCTGCCTGAGTTACCCCCTCAGGCTGATCAAGAGCCACAGAATTCCCTCCACTTCCAAACCTAAAAAGATGCCTTGTCTTGTCTCTCTACTCTGTGCTCTGTGATCTTGTCTCCACGTCTCAGGCCTGGGCTGGGTCCGAGACCACCCTGGAAACACATTCTCTACCTCAGAGGGAACTGGAGGTGGACTGGTGGGAGAAGAGTCACTGTACAGATTTGAGTCTTGCACAAGAATTCGGGTCTCTTGCAGCAATAGCAAGGCAGTGCCATGGGATGCAGCTTGGTTAAAGGTGCTTCTTTCCAGGAGAGACAGTGAAGAGCAAGGTCTGCAGTCACCTATGGAGCAGGGTGATCAGACATGGGGTTGGCTTGATGCCTTGACCAGCATTTCCTCTCAGAAAAGAGGCAGTGATGTTTCTGGCTGTATGCAAGTCTGTGCTGTGTGTAGAATGACCCTGGCAATGGTCTCTGTGGTTGCAGCTCTGTGGCCATCTACCTTGCTTTTGCTTTAGAAAGTCTTGGGGTCCTTTGCAGTTTAAAGAGGCTACAGGAATGCAAATGCTGCTTTGGGATTGTTCTCATGTCAGGAGCCTTTTCCTTGTTCTATTTCCACCTCTTTGTCACTCAAGTCTGCTGCATGGGGGATTCAGAGCCATCTTATGTGTCTCTGAGGGAAGAGCTCTACAAACATCCCACAAGTCACAGCTGCCCTGGTGGAACAGCAGCATCCCTCAGGGGTCAGCTGCCTGGGGAATGAGTAGAGGCACATGGTCACTCATGGAAATGACATGATGAGTTTCCTCCTCAGCCATCCTTTCTCCATAGCCACTGGCATCATCCCAGCTGGCCTAGCCTGTGATTCTAGTCAAGGTCTGGAACATCACGAAGCATGGATGAAGTTTTGCCCAAACTCAAAGCCCCTTTGTACTGGCAGATTCCTGGGTATGTCATAGAAGGGATGCTATCCCTACTCAGAGCATCACACAAGCCTTTGAGTTACCTTTGTGTGTCAAAAGGTATGCAGGTCCCCATAGACAAATGCCACCAGTGTCTTCTTCAATGGCCTGGGCTGAAAGGCCCAGTGCCACCAGGGCTCCTGATGCCCCAAGCAAGGCAGGCTACATGCCTGCCTGTCTGCAGGGACAGTGGCAGAAGCCCAGGAAGCCCTCAGAGTTTCTAGGAAGTTTCCTGTCTGACACTCTAGCAGATGCCCTGGGTCTTCAACCGCTGCCAGTCCTGGGCTTCCGGTAGGGGCTCCAGCCCGGACCCCCCCTCCGCTATCAGCTCACCAGATGCTTTTTTCAGGATACTGTGGTAAAACTGTGCAGGGCATGAGCTGCAATTTGGGGTTTTCTCTGGTGTCAGCCTTGAAGACAAATTGGATGAGAAAAAAAAAATGATGCCCCTGTCACTGGTCATTAGTCACTCTTGTTTTTCTCCTGTGTGTGCTGAGGTGAAGCGGTGGGTCCCCCAAGCGGCCCTGCATGGGTGGGCAGTGGGGCTGGGGCACTGGAGGGACTTTGTCAACAGTTACCTGGGCCAGAGGGGAGCAGAAGTTTCCCAGTCTCCTGCAGTCTTCAGCTTCTTGATTGTGTCGCCCCCCAGTGGTACACTGCGCCTTCCGGCTGCTGCCTCGGGCTCCTTTCCCAGCCATGGGAGGAAGCCTGCGTGAGCCCAGGCTTTAGCACAGGAGGCCATGGGATGCACTACATTGTGACTCCAAGTTTAATGGGTGATGCACCCCGTGACCTCCTCCAGAGCTCTTCCCTTGGGCTTGCCAGGATCCAGGCAGGAATTCATGCCTCACTCAGCGTTAATGGCTCCTTTCTGCTGTGATTGAGTAGATGCTGTTAAGCAATAGCATCACACAGGCCTGTTGCATCTTCCTTGGGGAAGGACCTCAAAGCATGTTGCAAGCTCAGAGGGTGGCAGTCATGGGGCCCTGACCTGCACAGCAGCCTCACTGGGATGGAGCACAGCCACACAGTGGTGGGAGGTGAGAAGCAAGGCAGAGCTCTGAACGCTTACATTGTGGAGAGGCTGATTAGGGTAGCAGACTGAAGTTGTCTTGCCCAGCACGTGCCCAGAAGGTGCTGTGGGGCTGGCCATGCTGAACCAGCCTGAAGCATAAGAAATGTGTGATTTCTCAGGGCCCCTTGCAAGCTCACAGATCACCAGCTGCCTGTTTCTCTTCCCTCCACTTTGGAATTGGGCCTGAGGTGACCAGCAAAGTCACTTCTCCCTCTGACCTGGAGAAGTAGCCTGGTGGCAAGAGCTGGGGACTTGCCCCAGATGTCAGACACCCCTCAGTGTCTAACCCTCAAATGGGACCAAGAGTGAGTGGCAAAAGAGCCTAGCAGAACTGAGGGCCGAGGCCTAGGAAAGGAGCTTAGTGCTGAGCTTTGGCTCCAAGTTTGGCTGACATCTAGCAGTGTTCCCTGGTTACTGCCTTGTTCTCCAGGAGGCTCCCTTCTCCGCCCTTCTGTTCCCTCTGCAAGATGAGAGAGGAACCAGCTTGCTGATATGAGTGTGCACCATGAATAAAATGGGGCCTTTGGAACAGTGCCCGTGCCTTGGCCTGAATTGCTTGGTGTAGCCACTGGTCTCTGCTCAGGTACTGCCTTGCAGGTCACACAGGATGCATAGCAGGAATGAGAGACCTCAGCCTTGTAGCCTCCCCAGGGCTCTGTGCAGCAAATGCAGATTTGTACTTTAGTCAGCAAGTGCATCTCTCAAAGGCACTTGATTGGAGGAGGGAAGTGGTAGATGGGAGGGGGTACTGACAGGACTTCCCTGAATCCATGCTCCATGCTGCCTCTCTCAGCTGGGTGCCTTGAATTGGGAGCATAGCAGATCTCACAGGCAGAACAGGCACAGCCTGAATCAACCTGTAGCTGAGAGACTATTGCGTACCCTGCAAGGTGGGCTGCAGAGAGCAACCTGAGCCAGTAGGTGGTGGTCTGAGCCAGCCGCAGGGCACCATGAAGCTCTGCCATCTTGCAGAGATGGTGTTCTCATAATTCGTGGGCACGTCTCACAAGAACAGCCATAATCCCCCTGTTGTCTTGATGATGCTCCCACTCTAGGGGTTCAAGGAGTGCACCCACCTAAAGAGCCCCGCTTTGCTGTTCCAGCTGGAAGACTGTGTTCTTCCTTTCCATCCAAAGCTATTGTCCTGCATTGCTGCATGTTGTGAAATGGCTGATGGGTTTCACACAGAGATGGCTGCATCCGGAAGGGGAGTGAGTGACTGTGTGCCCACAAGGGATGTTCTGGACACTGCCTGTGCACATGTGATGTCTGACGGGACTTAAAGTGAGACCATCCCAGCAGCTCTGCGGCGGGACCTCCTTCAAGAGGTTCTGCTGCCTCATCTAGCAGGGAGCTGGGCTAGTGCCAGCTGGGCATGGGAGAGTCATCAGCACTGTTGATTTGGCAACCGGAGCTTTTCTCTGTGTTACCACCTAGGCTGTGTTTGTTTGCAGACCACTAGCACTTCTGGCTGAGGGCTTCCTTAACTAGCATTGCTAACATTTGTCTTCATGCTGCACCTGGCTCAGGGGACCCAAGAAAGGATGCATTTCCCGGGTGTTTTCCAAAGTGGTGGCTTTGTGAGCCACTAGATGGTGCTGTGCAACTGTTCTTTATGAGTCCTAGCTCAGCTCGGTGGTTGCAGCTGCCTCATCTCAAACTGCAGGTTGGGAGATTGCCCCTTACATACAGGCTAAGCCACCCTTCATAGGAAAGCTTTATGCCCCTTGTTCCTTTACCAGGGATGGATGCTTTATAGCAATAAAGGAAGTGATCCTTGTAGCTACCTAGATATTGTAGGAAATCATGGTTAAAAAAAACATTGCTGAGGTTGTAAATTTTGGATGCCTCAAGCACCATACCCCTTGATGTCAGGCACAGCCATGATGGCTTAGCCTTTTTGTAAATCAGACCCTCAGGTGGCAAAACACCTAGAAAGCAAAGACCATAAAATTAGCAGCCACCTTTTGCAAAGCTTGGGTTCAGTGGCTTGCCCAGCTCCACACAGGAAGTCTGTGGCAGAGACACAGAGAGAAGCCAGTTCTCCTAGACTGCTTTCAACATAAGACTGGGTTTTTTTCTTCCTGTTGTCATCCATCTCATTCATTCACTCCCTAGTTCCTGCACCAGACAGGACAGGGGCCCTACAAGCAAAAGCCTCCTGTGCCACACCCAGCCTGGATTCATCCCCTGAGCATGGCGGTCCTGTGCACTGAATGAGGCATAGGAAGAAAGTGTGCATGCTCATCTAAGTAAAAACTATCGCACCACGTTACCATGGACAACTGTGGGTCTGGCAGTCACTCAGTTGCTTGCCTAGATAATGTTGTTTCAACACAATGGGTGGAAGTGCCCACACACAACATCCATGTGACATCAGAAAGGTTATGTGCTGCTCTGGCATGGATTTAAAAATAAAATCAGGGCTAACTACTACCCTGACTTTCTCAAGAAACAGTAGTTAAAACAAGCTGTTGTATTCTAGCTGTTCAAGCTACACAGTCTGAAAACACTCTGTGCGTGGGTGTCCATTGATATGCTCCCTGTTGCCATAGTACCTGAGAGCCCATTCCCAGTTTTGTGTAACTCATGTAGTGTTCCCTAGGTGCACAGGTTTGTAAATGCATGTGTCAAGGTCTCACCCTAAAAAAGTATACCACAGCTGCCTCTGCCTCATACCCCAGGACAGATCCAGCCTGCAAAATAGCCCCCACCCCAGGGAATGGGGGTGAGTTTGACACCTTTGCTCCAAGGGATTTCACCTCGTGAAGTGAGAGGGAGTTAGGCACTCCAGTACCTTGGAGGATCTGGGCCTTGGGTACTGCAGTGGCTGGGGGGTGCCCTGTGAGGACCGAGCAGACCACGACAGTGGAAGCTTTTGAGACTTGCCTCAGTAGTTGTCTGCACACTTTGCTCTGGGCCAGCCTGCCCTGCTTTTTTGCTGTGAGGCTCCACAGAGAGAATTTCTTGGCCTTGCCTCATCTTTTGAAGGTCCTGGTCAAAAGAGTGGTATCACAGCCAGCCTCTTTCACCACAAGGGATTAGGAATAAGCAAAAACTTGTCCCATTCACTTACACGGGGTGGAGGGGAGTTAAAAACAGTCATATGGTTGAGCAAGTTTTTGATGACTGCTTTCAGTGAGCTCCTCTGGGGCCAAGCCCTTTGGGAGGCAGGAGAAGCCTGGGAGTGACCAGGGGCTGGAGTCACCCTAGAATAATTTATTCCGGGGCAGGTCACTTCCCCACCCACCTTCCCATCTCTGCAAGGGGCTTCCAGGTCAGCCTCTTGTTGGCTGTCCCACCAGAGCCACTCTGCTTGCGTTCCACATTTTAGAAATAACCAATGGTTTAAAAAACCCAGATCAGAGAACTCTGCCTCCTTCCCCACTTCCTCCTTCTCTCTCACCTCCCAGCCACACCCCAGCTGCCCACACCCCAGTCAGGCCTAGCCAGAGGGCACAACAGAAGTGTAAAGGGCCAAAACCTCCCAGGCACTGTACATCCCATCTCTTGCCTGAGCGAGAGGGCTCTCAAGTGGAAGACTGCCCTGGGGCAAAGGTCCCAGGTTTGCACTGGTCTCCATCAGGAACGGTGAGATGAAAGGGGCCTTGGAGAGATGCTGGGAGTGGCTACATCTTGCCCACCTGCCCTGACTCTCCAGAGGGGCTTTCCCATCTTCAGGAAAGTAGTGGAGGAGCAACTATGAAAGCCTCAGACCCGGTCCAAACTAAAGGTGAGAAAGTCACTTTGTGTCTGGCCTAAAACAAATGACTGGGAGTCTGGGCCCCAGTGCTCAGGAGTGATGGGAGCCAGAGCTGTGCCGGGACAGAATCAGGGAAGCAGCAGGAGCTTGGCTATCCGGCTACGAGTCTACATCCCCCATGGTGCTGACATGGCCCTGCCTAGGTGTGCCAGGTGCCCTGACAGGACAACAGAGCCCATGTGCCTGCCTCAGACACAGCAAGTGCGTCAGCTGGGTCTTTCTCCCACTATCTACCAAACATGATTCCTTTGCTGTTGCCTCATTTGTTGGCCCCTCAGACCTGACTCCACTGCCAAGCCAAGACGAAGCTAGAGAGAGCCCCGTGCCCCAGAGAGTTTGCAGTCTCTGCAGCTCTCCATGGAGCAGTGTGGGTGGATCTTGATGGCTGCCTCTCAGCCCTAGGTCTGCCTAACCCCTGCCTTTGTCTCATGGGGCAACAGGGGGGATTAGGTCACCTGGGACCAGAGGCTGAGATTGGGGTGGGGTGTATGATTGGTGGGATAAAGGTAAAGTTTGGGCTGGAGAGCAGCAGTTGCGGCCATCGTGAAATGGCAGCTGGCTGGGGAATGGGAGTCATGTTCCCCAGAGCTAGGAGCACTGCCTAGGTCATCTCCTGTGGTGGGCTCTACTCCCTATGGGGTGGGCACTGCCATGTGCCAAGGACCAGCATTCGTGGAGCAGGGACGAACAGAGCTCCTTGTTCCCCGCAGCTGCTCTCACAGTTGGGTGGTTTCCTTCCTTGTTCAGGACTGTGGAGGCAAATTACAGCCCCTTCAAGTGGAGTCCTTTCAGCTGCAAGGGCTGCACAAGAGAGACACTCATTCCAGGTCTGTAGGGCTTGGCTTTAATTGCCCATATGATGCTAATCTGCTGGAGGGGCTCAAGTGCTCCTTTATCTGAACCTCCCCCACCCCTCCCTTTCCCCTCTGCTGCTGTGACTCCCCTGGTGGAAATCTCCAACTCCTCTCAGCCCCCCCATGCCGTTTGCTTTGAGCCAGCCTGTAAGAGGAGTTCCCAGCCCCTCTGCAGAGGAGCTGAGACAGAGGGACCCTGTTGTGAGTCCTGGCCCTCACCTGCACCTCACCTGTGTGGCTGGAGGCAGTAGCAGGATGGAAGTCTCTTTCCCCTTCAGCTGGTGTCTGTGTCTTGGCTTCCTTCTTCTGCTGTGGCTGAAGCCAGGGAAACCGGGCCCAGACAGTCCAGAATGCAGCCCAAGGAAAGACCCTTTGTGCTGGGAGTCTCTAGTGGCAATGCCCCCTTCCCAGCCAGAACCTGGCTGTGATGGGCTGGGAGGATGCAGGCTCCACTTCCTTGCTCCTGAGGTGCTGCCAGCCCTGGACCAGGTGAGGGATGTCCCAGGGGAGCAGCAGATGGAGTTCAGGCAGATTCTGAAACAAGCTGGAGAGGGTCACAGCAAGCCGAGCCCTTCCCGGGCCAGGAACCTGCTTAACCGTCTCCAAACAGTGGAAGCTAGCGTGGCGGTCATGGCATCCAGGCTGGAGAGGCTGCAGGAAGAGAACAAGCTCAACCTGAGCCGTGTGGAGGAGAGACTTGACTCCCTGGTGGTCCTGCTGATGGGAATCCTGTCTGGCTGCAAGCTGCCCTGCAATGATTCTGTCCTGAAAACATTCATCCTGGGTGAGTGCACTGGAGCTCTGCTTCTGGGTCTACCAAGACTCATTGGGCTGGCTTTTGGCCAAGACCAACCCAAGGCTGGCTCAGATCCAAGTCCCCCTTTTCTCAAACCCATCAGGGATGGGGTAAAAGCAAGAGTGAGGTAATTGATTCAAGGTTTGGCTTCTCTCTTCTCAAAGGACTTACACCCAGGAATGTTCCCTGCAGCTGAACAGAGTAACTCTGAACCAATCCCCCATTTCAGCCCTCCCAAGCAGTTTGTCTGGTGATGAGTGGTCTTCATGGCACCCCAGGGCAGAACTCAGCTGTCAAGAGGTGCTCTAAGGAAGGAGATGTGCAAGGGCCAGGGAAGGCAAGGGAGGATGTGGCTAGGGCCAAAGGGAGCGGGAAGACTGAACCAAACCCAGGTGTGCCTGTAACATCCTGGGCCCAGTGTATTGCTCTAGCAGGTTGTCTAGATTTCATGTCATGCAGCTGTAGCAAACACTTCCTCAAGGGTTTTTAATGCAACTGAGTTGTGCAGGGATCATCCTGGCACCGGGCAAGCTGTGAGGTGGGCCTGGAGTGGGGCTATCTGTATCCGTCTCCCATTTCCCCTTACGGTTTTCTCTCCTCGGGAACATTCTCTGTCCAGGTTTTCTTTCCCAAGAGCACAAACATTGTGCTGAGCCTAGTCACAAAGGGTCACACATCAGCAACAAGACACCGACACCTGCCTTCATTGTGGAGATCTTGCACTGCTGGGCATCGGTCTCTTTGCACACAAGGGCACTCACGGTGCAGGCAAAGACTTCTGTGGGGAGCATTTCCCCCGGACACAGCCCCTCTTGAAAAAAGTCTGTGTCATGGATAGCTCACAGTGATCGCTCACACTCCAGAAGCCTGCACGGCCTGGCTGGGCATCTGGCCGGGTGCTGCCAGTCTGTGCTTCTAAGGACAGTCCCTTCAATCCAGACATCACAAGGTACCTCCTGGACTGCAAAGGCCCTGCTCCCCAGAGACTTGCACTCTCTTTGAGAAACCTGAGCTGACCTGTCCAGCCCACATCCATCTCCAACCAGTACTTGTTCAGTGCAGGAGGTGCAGTCAGGACCCACTCAGCATCTGCAAACCCAGTGTGACCCCAGTGGTATTGGCCAAACAGCCCCACTGTCCTTATCTCTCCTCATCTGTACCTGGCTTTCTCCTTGATTTTTTTTTTTCCCTTTTTCTCCTCTTCCCC